CGGAGCAAAACCACCCCAAGTTCCCCAACTCCATAACAAAACTCAACAACGGCAAAAGTTGGCGGAAGTAAGGCACAAAACTCGATCCGAAAGCTTACCTTGCGCCGCAAACAATCAGCCTTCCACAGCTACAAGCAGCCACGGTGACTCGAACGCGTGCACAACTCGACCAAAATACGGTTCCTTATTTGCTTGTGGGAGAAAAAAAAAATCCATCAAACAACAACTACGGCGTCGCTCTGCAGTAGATGGGCTTAAATGTCCACTGCATTTCCAGGCTCGAACACGACGTGGATGCACATGTAAAAAAAAAAATTCAAAACAAAAGGTAAGCTCACGAGCTTGCGGCTAACGCACGAAAGCGCAACGCGACGACGTCTTTGCGCCCCGGAGTCTCGCGCGCCACTGCTCTGTACCGGCAGCGTCGCGACGCTCCCGAACCCCGTACACACGCACTCTGTGCTCTTCAGGCGCGAGCGAGCAGGCGCACGTTTCGTTCAAGGGCTCCTCCTCCCCGACTTTTTCTCTTTTTTTCCTCTCTGTCCTCTTGGTCTTTTTCTTCGTTCGTCAACTCCTCTTCTGGCCCCTTCTTCGGCTGGTGCTTTTTTCCTCTTGGCTTTTCCTCGCTCTCGAGAAAGGCATTCGCGTGCTCCCGATTCTGCGTTTATTTTCGTATGCGAGGTGGCGCTTCATCTCGAGAGCGGCTGAGGGTTTATTCTGCCTCGGGTGCATCGTGGCTCTCTCGCGGAGGCGAAAAATTTACGGGGGGGCCGAGATCGGCGCTTCTGGAGCTTTCCGGTCAAGGTCGGTCGGCGAGTCTTGGCCGATTTTTGACTCCGAGGTCTTTTTCTCTCGTAAATGTACGGTGGCGTCAACTCTTTCGGTCTTGCTTCGACCGGAAATAGAAAAGAAAGCCGGGCGATCGTGAACAAAGTTTTCGAGGTCCGTGGCTGTTGCGATGGCTTCGGAGAGCGCGTGTTTACGTTGGACGTTGGAGCTAATGTGTGTTTTTTTTTTTTTTTTTTTTTTTTTTTTTTTTTTTTTTTTTGCATAGAGAAAATTGACCATGAATTTCAACCAATACGTTTTCCAACTCCATTACTAAAAGTTTGTTGATTTCAATTGCTAGTTTGCTGACACAAACTCAAGTATAGTAATCTGTGGAATTGTCCGTTTTTACTATGAACTGCTACTAGTACCAGACCCAAAAAAAAATTTTTAATTACAATTTGCATCTTTAAAAGTCATAACTTCAATAATGTTGTTTTGAATCAAAATTTTATATGAAACTAAGCACGAAATTGTGGGATACTTAAAACACAGTTTATTCTTTCAAACAAGATAAATTGCATAGTTTGTTCGCCAAACTTTGATGATTCGAGTATAATTCTTTAATATCCTCTAATACCCTCAATTTGTTTAGAACACGTAAAAAACTCGAACTGTTGTTAAAATTATATTGATTGTTTTTCTCAGCCGATTGTGGTTTGTATCTTTTTTTCTTGATGTAACCTTTGTGCATCGTATATCAAGAGCATTATATATCGATTCATTAAAGATTTAAATGATACATTGTTATTAAACTTTATTTTTTTATAGTGAACTACATTCGCAATGGTGTTTTAAACAATCATAATAAAAACTAATCCGAGGACTCACCATAAGGATAATGTTAAATCTTTGTTTGTAGAAAAAACGAATGCTAGTCAGCGTGAAAAGCTACAACGAACGGAAACTGACTCCTATAGTGGGTGAAGCTTTGCAACCTCGTCTGGTTGACTTATACAGTTTCGTGACGACTTTACTTTATGTTAAAGAAGTAAGTTGAAAACTCTGTTATTATATTACACGGGAAGGCAAAGAGGAGGTGAAGGTAAGAAGTAGTCAAGTCATCGATTAGTTTTGAAAGAAAGAGAGAAGTAGGCCGGTACGAGCGAAAGGCATACGCTCGTATATGAATAGTATAATGCGATTGCATACGTAATCCCGGTGCATACCTAATCAGTAAGCTCCTTGTACTGCGCGTGGATTCATCCAATCTGAAAAAAGTTCTTTTGTTTTGCTTCTTGGTTAAAACTCCGACACACGTCTAAATATCTTATTACATAGGTGGTCCGTTGCCTGTCCTTGTTTCTTTGTGAAAAAATAATTTTTCCTGGGGATTTTTCTTCATAATTACCATCATATAGTAGCCAACAGAAAAATTACAACTATTTGAACATTCGTAATGATTGCATTAAAAATTTACAAGTTTAAAACATTGGTAAAACATAAATTTGCTATACTTTAATATTAAATAAAGTCACATTATACTCAGTTGAGTAAATTATACGGTATTTATTTATGATGTATTTATTGGTATTTCGTAAGAGGAAAGCAGCTTGGCTTTTGATTTTGAAATTGTATTGAAAGAAAATTAATTTACACCTTTTTAAAACAGTTCTAACTCAAAATAATTAGATCCACCCTTTTTGGAACGTAGATTTTATGAAGTATCGGGAATTTCGTCAAGTGAATCTTATAGCAACTATTTTGTGCAGTGATAACTTTACAAATAAGTGTTTTAGTATTTAATCGATAATTGTTTAAGCCCTTTTTATCCTTAATATGTTTATAATATCTTGTACAGTTGATATCGTTTCTGTTATCTTAACATAATCTAAAACAGTTATTTTTCAGATAAACTTCTTACGTAAGCCCTTCTTTTGATGTGATTACCAAGTAATTAATAGTTATTATCAGGCTATTACAAAGTATGAATTTGAAAGAAAGATTTGTTAAAGCTAATTCCTAACTAAGGTTTTTCATCAAATAAATCAATAATTAAACAAAATAATTATGCACATACAAATAGTGTTCAAGATTGCCGAAAGAGTTATTTTTTAATTTACCGTTTTGAGTCATCTCTGAATAAAATTTTATGTATTTCTTCTACAAGAAAAAACTTTTCTAAGACCTGAAAATACGTGTTATCCTCCTTTTTCTGCATTAGAAAAGTTTTTTTTTAATTAAATGTAAAATAAATAAATACTTCATATAACAGACTATAAAATCATGGATGCAAAAGACGAGATATAGACATTGTACTAACTAATTCAGAATTCGTATTAATGAACATTGCAGTTTAGTGCTACACATAAAGTGTATATTTTTAATATCTGTCATTATTTTTACGTTATATAATTGGCAAGGAATCCTTTCCTTTGAACTGATAATCTTATTTCGACATGGCTCTTGAATTCTGCATCAGTTTCGGTATACATCATATAATCAATTGTTTTGCTCAATATTCCAGTTTTATATTTTTTTATTTATGTATATATGCACAATGACATTGCTGGCAACATAAAATTTCTGTCTTAATTTTTTACTACATTATACAGAAATTCTTATACAAACGCTCAACGTTACAATATTATAACCTTTTTTTTATAATGATTTTTTCTCGTTCTTAGTTTTCACACTGTCATATTACTTCTGACTTTTCATTTTTATGATAATAAAACACATTACTAGGTTTGTATTTTTTTTTTTTTTGTTAAATATTACTCATAACGTTAGGTATAATATTTGTTACATACGATACATACATACAAGTGTCCATCCACTAAAAGATTTTACGCAGTATGTAATTTTTATATATTTATATAATCCAAAGTTTTATTTCCAATAATTATTTCATTGTAAATCAAATAACTCTTTATAAATAGCTTCATTAGGAAATACAACAATCATATAAACAAATTCAAAACTATGGATAGAATTTTAATTTCTCTTGTAAGATGTAAATAATACGTTACGTAATAACATATCACAGTAATTATTTTACTAATAAACAACAATAATTACATACTGCATCAACAATACACAATATTTCAATCAGTATATTTTACAATTTATTTATGAGGGTAGTATTTACCGAAGAGTAAAAATAATTATCGTCGTAAAAAATGAAAATCTTTGAATTATGTACATAACAAAAATGTGAGTGGAAAATTATTAAAAAATCGTAATTTTTCTAAATTAATTTTGAAGAAGCCTAACCTTTTAAATTATTGTGATTGAAATCCACATTATGTTATCGTCATATTTATGAATTATACAGTGTATCGTAATTCTTTTCATACATGCATGTAATATTTATTTTTTTATAATTCACACAAATAATTAACGCTTACATTACACTTTATTACGGAATTCGTAATATAGATTCATTTAGTATGTACAAGTCGGCAGCTTGCCTTTATAATCATAGTAGTCATTAACGTCGTGATAGCTGAAGTATTTATCTCGGGACATAGGGCCATATAACCACACCCGTAGATATTTTTTACTTAAAGCGTATCACCCGATTTTTGGAAATGTATAGTTAGTGGTCTAGTACTCATGATTTTACAAAGTGATGATTTTTCAAGTTGTGAGAAAGTTTTTAAATTAATCTAAAAGTTTAATATTTACTTGGATAAAAAATTAACTATTACATAGATAAATAATATTTTTGATGCGTTAGTCATGAATTTAGATTGATAAAAAATTTAGTTTGCAAATTACGTAATGTACGTACTAAATATTTTGTTATTTCATTTTTCGTATTAAAATTAATACATCTGTCATTTTTATCTCAATTTCAACTAATTTGTTTAATTTTCTTCTTACATCAGAAATTATTTGTTAATCATTTGGAAGATTTCATGAACTCTAAATTTGGTATTAGTGAATTTTTTTAGATGGTGACTTTGCATTTTCTGAATAGATTAAAGATGATAACTATATCATTTGTTGAACATGTCGTTCAGCTCTCCGTTGTTTTCATGATGACTTGAGGGTCACTGCCTAAGCACACGATCAGTAAGAGCTAATTTTTGGAGTACGAATGAAAACTTCAAAAAACCAGGTGTTAGTTTGAGCAATGTTTCGTTGGTCTTAACGCCAACCTCATCAGGCTCAGTCTATATCGTTAAGACCAACGAAACGTTTCTCAAACTAACACCTGGTTTTTTTTGGAGTTTTCATTCGTACTCCCAAAATTAGCTCTTACTGATCGTGTGCCTATAGGCACTGACCCTCAAGTCATCATAAAGATGATAACATTGACTTTATTACATTAGAATGAAAAAGCTTTTTTAGTGCAATGATTGGCAGCCTTGGTTTTTGTGTCTTGACGATAAATAATAGTATAAAATTTCAGTAACAAAAGACTTCCCTATACAGAATCGAAGAAAAAATTTTTGTCTATTTACCTTTCGAGTGAACAACCTGGTAATATGACGTGATAATTGGTAATCAATTGCACTCGAGAATTTCAAAGATATACATCGAGAAATGTCTTTCTTAAATAGATGTACATTAATTTAACTTTGGTAAATTATTTTCTTGTTTTTATGAAGCTACTTAGCTAGCTTTATAGACGATAAGCTATAGTTAACGCTTAAAATCATTAGCAATTCTATGAAATTCCATGTGAAGAAATAATAGACTGAATCGATTTTGGCTCCTTTTGAAAAAGATAACCAAGCATACTTATAAATTTTTTGGTTGTTAAATACAACACAAAATCCAATTTTTCTAAACTATTTCGATATTGTGTATTAAGCGAAAATGTGGGTCTCATTAAAGTGTTGCTATTGTAATGGAGATATTAAACCAAGATCATTGTTTTGATAGTATTTTGTAGTGGAAACTACCGCAACATTGTACCAGTATTGCAACGAAGAATAAATGTTTTAGATCACTCGTAATGAACCTCCTACTTATTATACACATAAAGTCGACCTATCTAATAAATAAAGCTAATTTTTATATTTTGTGGTCGAATACTTCAAATAATAACCATAGGAACTTGGAATATATATTGGAGAATACAGTATTGAATCCTTGTAAATTTGGAAGCCAAGTTATTTATGTAACGACAAGATCATGCTACTTTGAAATAAATTATAACAATGTTTGTGAAATTATTTCTTAACTGGGACCCATAAAATAATAACCAACTTAGTGCAACAATACCAGTCAAGTTTTTCACTTGAAAGTAAACAAGAACAATGAAAATTACATGTGTTCATAGTCTTCAAAACTTCAACAGAAGTCCCGTTACGCAATACATAGATAAATCAACATGTGCATAGTAAACTTTGATGAACTGTTTCTTCTTTTTATTGTTAAATCCCAACGTAGTTCGATTACGAACTTCATGCATCGGCCAAATGTGACCACCATAATTTTTTGTATCAGAAAACGTCTAAGTTGCTCTGAGCATTAAAAGAAATACGTAGTGTGTTCTCACTCTGAAAGCTGGTTTGGAAGAAAAAAAAGTTATCTATTCTCGAGAAGAACACATTTTTCTAACAAACTGGAAAATACTGTTTGCATTGTTACCGCTGACATTGGAAATTGTCAATTGGTTATTCTTGACCCAGTGGCCAGTAGCTTTTCTGGGCAAATTCCAGGTAAGAAACTCTCATGCCTATGCTCGCACACATAAAGAACAAAAGAAGTAAACGAGAGGAAAAAATTGCATTCATCGTGAAGTTGAATTCACTGCTTGCCCCGAGGCACCCTTTTCGGTGCTCTCTGAAATTTTACTATTTCTTGTGGTACAACATAAATGTGGCATCGAAAATTAGAGGGATTGACAAACGACGTGGTCTAATGTGAGCCAGCCCATGAGAGATACTCGTACATAGAGGCATAGAGAGGAGCGACGTGGGGCTCCTCGTGATCCATGGTTCGCGTGCAACAGTTGAATCTCTTAGCAGTTGCAGCTGGTGTCCGTGGGATTGGTGGGCTGGTCGGTTAATCGCTGGCCCTTCTGCTGGCCTGCGCTGTTCATCAGAGTCGGGTCGTTGTCCAAGGATTCGCTCATTTTGTCACAAATGATGTCCACCAAAGTTTCGAAGACAGCCTGAAAACGAAAATGAAAAATAATCAAAGTATTTTCAAAGACTACAATTAGACGAAACAAGTGCATTGAAACCTTTTTTTGCATTCGCACATTCAATTGTTAATTTTGCTACTTTGAACGGCTTAAGCCTTAAGTTGAAAATCAAAGTGAACTGCAAGTGGCGCATTAGCTAATGAAACTAGTGTGTTGAGTCGTATGAGTTTTTCACTTGCAGTATTCTAGAGCACTTTGTCACAATTGGATTACTTAAGACAATCCTATTTTCAATTTCAATGGAATAATCAAAGAGTACAGTGTGCAAAACTTTGTAACGTGAGGTTATTAGTCTCGTTTGATCGATACATAAAAAACAAGTGATTTAACATAATCTGGTCATGTAATGCTGTAATAAATAGTGCAATTGCTTTGTGAAAGGACAAATTATGCCTATTTTCTTCGTGATTATCGAAAGATCAAGTTTTCTTTATCGCAACCCTTGGCATAAGTAATCTTATTGTTATTATTTACGTAAGTATTAAATAAAATGCTCAAGTAATTAGTATTTTTATGAATTTTACTCGCAATGTTATGTACTATCAGGGAGAAATCATGATCACGGGTATCAGTGGAGGTGGCACCCTTTTCCATGGTTTACATGCAATTATTATATTTATACACATCACATGTTGTATACATGAAATTGTAACATAAAAATCACGGAAAAAGGGGGTCACCTCCACTGAATCCCATGTTCACGATTTTTTCCTCATATCACATAACATTGCGAGCAAAATAAGCCCGAGTTCTCTTTCATGCTCTTAATATAGTGAACTATGTTTCAACTTACCTTGACGTTGGTGTTTTCTTTCGCCGACGTCTCAAAGAATTGTACCTTAAGGTGCTCGGCCAGCTGTTTGCCCCGCTCGAAGCTAATTACCCTTTCGTCTTCCATGTCGCACTTGTTTCCAACGAGGATAATCTGGGCGTTATCCCAAGAGTAGGTCTTTATTTGCGTCAGCCAATCCTGAACCGAGTTGAAGGACTCCTCGTTGGTTATGTCGTACATTAATATAAAACCCATCGCTCCTCTGTAGTAAGCTGTTGTGATTGTCCTATACCTTTCTTGTCCTGCGGTATCCTGCATTTGATCACCATATGATTTATAATATATATGGATTTTCGTTGTATTTATAACTAACTAAAATGTATAATATATGGAATGCATTATGCAAGGTACAACTGTGACAAATATTTGATAATGATTGTTAATTTTCGATTGAGGTTATAAACACAAGTTTAAAGTAATTCATGTTTTTGATCAAAGTTATTTTTAGTAAAGGTAGAATCTTTCTCTATTGTTATTCAGAACTAAAAAATACAAATAATTAAAAAAATTTCAAAAACTATTTCAGGATTGTTTCTTTCTTAAAATAAGGTTATTAAATATCATTTCCTTGTAAATCAAAAAAAAAATGCAGAATAAGAAAGTTTTGTAACTAGAACAATACATCTCGAAATAATTATCACAGTTCTAGCATACATGTAACAGATCCTATTGTTTGTCTAAAACAGAGGGATTGGAACTAGAGCCCCTTGTCGAAAGACAGAGCAAGAAAAACTATAAATAAAGGGAGTATGGAAAAAAAAAAATTGTAGACTATGGGGATCTCTATGTGAAAGTGTTATTTCCATGAAGCTTTGCAGTACCCCAATGTAAGGAAAGCCACCCAAATGTAATGTGCTGTACAGGATAAAACGAGTTGCTGGTGTGCGCGATGACATTTTGATTCCGAGTAGGGATGAGTGGAAAAAAGAGACGGGCGAGGGTGAGATGTTTTTTTATAACGCTACACTGACCCAGATCTGGAGTTTGACCCTTTTGTCGTTCCTGAAGACCGTCTTTACTTTAAAGTCGATGCCAACAGTCGAGACGAAGGCTGAGGTGAAAGAGTCGTCGGCATAGCGAAAGAGGAAGGATGTCTTGCCAACAGACGAGTTGCCGATTATCAACAGTTTGAACATGTAGTCGAAGTTTTGGTCTGACGCGTCTTTCTGCCATTTTTGATCTTGACCCGCCATCTGAAAAATCATAAAAGACACTTTAATGTGTTTTAAAGGCGATTTCATAATTTGATTTTTTTACTGACAAGAGGAATATTTTAAAAATGCTTTCTAAGGAAAAGACATTGAAGTAACTATTTTTTGTGTTTGGATTTGATTTGGTAGTAACATTGTCGGTAAACTTCTACTTATGATCGTTTTGTTTCATAATCTTATGATTTTTTTTAAGAAAATTTCCAAGAGCTCCAAACTAATTTGAAAGGAAAGGAATGATCATAAAATAAAAAAAAAATAAAAAATAAAAAAAAAACAATAGCGTTATTACAAATTATAAAGTATGTTTCATTTATAGTATATTGCCCAGTATAAATACAGGCTTTCACTGAGATTTTAATTTCGATGATAGGATACAACTTTAATCTATATAAATTTGGTTTTAAATACTTTGAGATAAACTTAATATTTATAAGCCCTGAAACTTTTTAACCATTACTTATAAATGTTCGTGTCTTTGAGCTTTTTGAGGTGTTATAAGTTTTTTCTTGTCTAGATTTTTGTGTCATTCAACGTAATATATTTAGCAACATAATGTTCTTAATGTTGATAAATAAAGTATTATTGTATTATAAATAGTATATAGGCTTCAATTTGAAGTTATGGTTCTTACAATTTAAATAATTAAATTACGATTTTATCACTTCATAAAATAATATAATTATTTCATACTGCGTAGAATAATTTATATTCAACACTGAAAAATTTACAAGAAACATGCTTTTTTCAACTAGGATATGAGACTGTAACCAGCACTTTCCTGGTAAGTATTTAGCTCTCTATGGCAGCTATCTTTGTAGCTTATATTTTTCGCTTGGAAACCGCTACCTACAACTATCAAGCAACACTTCAAAATAAATAATAAAAGCTTCATTTCAAAGTAAAAATAGTTATTAAATAATTAATAGACTAATGTATAATCCTTCCTACTTAATTATATATTAATTTATGATAGATGTATGGCACTGTTAAATTAATATTACTGTCAAATAATTATTTATTCCCTGAAATAAACTTGTTAATATTTGTTTATACCGTTAAGTTTGATACCAAAGACATTGATGGAGCAACGATATCCACAATTGTTAGCATTCGAGTCATCCTTGTGCGAAGTGTAAAAAACGAGTCTCTTATCTGACTTTTGGACATTTCATGGAACTTGCTCACAAAATTATTTCTCCCTTTAGTTTTCACATACCTTATGGTAAACGTTCTAACATTGTTCAATTAAATTATTTGAAATATTTAGCGACTGTTGGGCTCAGGCTTATCTTTTGTTATTAAAATAAAAAAGCTGTCAAGTTAAAAAAAAAAAATTAATTCCATATAATAAAATCGCCTTCTAAATATGCGAGCAATGTCTTACAAATTTAATGTTTCTTTCTATGAATAAGTTTTGATTAATCAATTCTTTCTTACTAGAGACACCGATGAAAAATGCTTTTTCAGTGTTTAAGTAATTTTTTTTTATCTGTATACGTACTTGTCACTTTAAAGATAAGCAAATAAAAAACCTGAGTTATAAAAGTGTTTTCATTATAAAATTTAAAAATCAAATTCTTGAAATCATTTTGCACGTTGATATTTTCTGTTATACCAGTAATCTCAAGAAACGGCACATTATTTTCCATCAATATTCAACCAGAGCTAGAACAATCCGTACTGCACTAAAAAAAAACAACTTATGCACGTCAAAACACAACAGCAATATTAAAGAACTTCTGTAATTAGCAACACAGCACCTAAAACACAAAACCAATAAAGGCAAACTAAACAATTTCGTAGAGGAAAAAGAAAAAAAAAAATAGGGGATTTCCATCAAGTTCTACCAGTAACTTTTCACCCACAGAAGAGCAATTAAATATTGGCCAACGTATCCAACTGATCGCAAAACCAACACATCTAAGGTAAGCTACACTTCCCGCACAAGTGATTATTTTTCCCCTATCCCGCACTCAAGCAGCTCCCACATTTTAACCACGTATGAGCGACGTGACGGAGTGGCCGATTCCTTTAACGATTTTCTACCACTTAACATGCCCTGTCTATCTCTCTCTATCTCTCTTTCTCTTTTCTCCCACTTCTTTTCTTCATCAGTATCTACTGCTCATTTCCTGTCTTTATCTCCAACCAACCGGGAAAAGGCGTCGGACGCAACTGCAAACGGAAAAGACGATTAATTAGACAACTGGTAGAAAACTTGGGCCCTTCAACGCAAATGCCGCTTTTCGCCGCACAATTCCTCACGTGAACGCTATAGTGTTACGGAGAAAAAATAGTCAAGCTCAGGAAAACTTTGACGTGGTTGTGGTGCAGTAACATTTCCATTGATTACAACAACGACATAATTACCGTGCAAATTTTGATCCATATACAATTAGTTGAAATGACGTTGAGGGTGCAATTTACATTATTTATACATTTTGTGTACCTTGCATTTTTTTGTTAATTTTATCTTTCAAATTACAACTAGAACATGTTTTATGATCGATATTAACACATTTGAGCATTTGTTATTGAATAACTACAAACTTTATCAAGAACGTGAAAATTTTCTTCTACATTGGAACCAGCAAGGATGACTAATTTTATTTAATGATGCTTGTGAATAAAAATTTAATTAAAGTACAGATAAGAAAAAGTTTTTATCAATTAGATAAAAACCATGGAAAAATAATAATAATATCCAATTAAAGCTCAAGGTTCGTAAATTCAAAGTTGAAGAGAATCATTACAAAAATACAAGAAGACGTGACTGAGAAAGTCCAACAAAACTTTTGTGGTGCTGTGGACTCGTGTCAAAGTTTTCCCAAACCTGCAATTTGTCTCCTGGAAATCCCTATTTTCGCCCGCACCGAGCGGTCCTATAATTTTTTTGTTTGTATTCCCGGTGACTTCGAAAAACCAGAAAACAATGATGCGACATTCGTGCCATGTGACGTTGGCCGCTGGCGTTAATATGAATTCTCTGTTGATGTGGGTGTAAGCTTATACTCGCTTTGCACCGGATCCTTGAAACGCGTCGGGGCGATAAAAATATGTACGTGCGAACTCGATGCCGGCCGTGTTTTTTTTTTTTTTTCTCGCTCCTAACGAGGACACGCTTAATGAGGGAAAAAAGATCGAGAGAGGCAATATTGGTGTCTCAAGGAGCAAAACTTGAGTAAAATTAATTCGTTAGTAACGACTACGATGAAAAACTGTGTGCTTAAAATGGCAATGTTAAAAAGTGTAGTTTGTCTGAATAGCTATTTAACAAATTTTTCGATATCTATATAAATTTGAATTGAATTATTTTCTATTAAACACGGATACTTAAGAATAAAAAAAGCTTATATTGGTCAGACGTGTAGGTAATGTGATTGACCTTGAAAGTTACAAAGATAAACCAAGGCCACCAATTTTTATCTCTTCTTCTTGGCGAAATTGTTTAAATAAATACCAATTACATCATATCGTCACATTTTACGATTTTAATTACAACATAGTTTGACAATTTTCATTTCATTTGATCTTAAATTAACTTGTTTCAATGTAATAACTCTGTATTTAAATGGGGTTCGGCATTTTCATGTAGATATGATCTCAAAGTATTTTAAAACAGACTGTATGTTTATTTAAAAAAAATTCGTTCTCAAAAAATGTTTGATGACAGGTTACGGAGTAAAAATACGAGCATGCACATTTAAAATTTAAAAATAGTGACTTTGGAAATTTTTACATTGGTTCAATAATTTTCTAAGTAGGATACTTTGAAATAGTTGAAGAGAATATACATATTAGTCACTGTACGACTGACATTTTTTAGCTTTAAATAATAGCTGTAGAGCATACACTGTTATTAAATAGTGATAAAATTATTCATCAATGAGGTAAGCCCGAAAAGGTACTAATATTAAATTTATGAAGATAGGTAATAATATAATTTAAATCAAACTTTGACTTTGTAAGGAGTATTAATTTTAGAAGACAATCACTTTTCTATGCTTTATATCGCCAAAAATAAAGCTACATGTGGTATTGTTAGATATAATCTCAATAGGAAAATCATTTTAATGTTAATGGAACCATTTTATAGTAAACAAAAAATAGCGTTGACTTCAAAATTATAATTACCTTGTATGGAACACGCGTTCAAGTGGGTTTTCCGTTATTAATTAAAAAGTTGAAACTTTCATTACATGAACTTTGTTTTTCAAACTAATAGCGTACTGAACGTTTCCCCTTAGAAAAATTTAACACCATCATATTGCAGAAATTATACTCGAATGTATCGGCTAATCCAGTTGCATAACGAATCGACCGCGAGGACTACCGGTGCTGCACTTGAGTAAATACTAGATAACTCGCTATACTTTGAGCATTTGCGCGTACATTACTTGTATATAAATATATTATCATTGTCCATTGGCAATGGCCTGGCTACACTTGGTGACTGCAGGTTTGAAAAGTTCTTTTACGTAAACGTGTCACAACTCTAGCATGTCCGAAGCTCATTTATCTATGTGTGCGATACTTAAAATGTTGTACACTTGACATATTGTTAAGCACTAGCCCGGAAAGATGTTTGCTACAATTATGATGTTTTAGATAAACAATTTTCTAACGTTTTGTATGATTTTTTAAAATAACTCACGGAAACACTGTAATAAGTAAGTTTGTGAGTAAAAAAGAATATGAAATACAAATTTACGGAAGTTACATATAGACAAAAATGTAATCCAAAGCTCATTCAGTGGATTTATAACTGTAATCTTCGAAAAATATAATAGTTTAGGATACTTTTCCACATTTATTTCACCAGCCTCTCCTATAAAAGTTGGTATCCCACCCTAAGCTCCCAATTCCCCATCACATCATGATATTTATAACATCCTCGTTCTGACACATAAACCACATGCATTAGTATATTATGGTATGAACGTCGCATCGTCTGGGTATAATCTTCGTCATTTACCAGCTAA